AAAAAAAAAAAAAAAAAAAAAAAGCTTGTTGAAATTTAAAAAATCAACTAATTACATTTTGTGAATGTTCATAAAATTTTGTAATCTATAATTTAAATAAACAAACCATGGTCACAATAATACACAATTCATGGTCACAATCTCATACTAGTTACAAATCACAAAAGACACGATCACAAAGTGACAAAAACATAATTTGTGAATCATAATTACTTAATTATACATTTTAATATGTTGCTAAATTATTTGGTTACACCCCACCCACCCCCTATTCCACTCCACCACTGTCGACACCATTCAAATCGCCGTCACCATGTCAAGTCCATAAACACTATCTTTACAAATCAACAACCATATCAAATCTACAGCTACCACTGAAATGGTCACATTCTTCTCTCCGCCACAATTCTACAGCCACCTCACAACATCCAATCTTATAGTGACCAGATCTCCACTACAATAATCAATTATGGTCATGTTAAGTTGATTAACGAAAACGATGCGATAGAGAAGATGGAGAGACCCTTCCAAAGAACTAACTAAAAAGTCATTAGCACAACTGAAGCAACAACATTGGCTCATGGTTGTGGCGAAGGCTCATATTTGATTTTTTGGATCGATTTTGCATAAACTTTTTAGGATGTTTTGAGGAGGTTTTCGTTGGTTGGGGTGTTGACACAACCTGAAGCAGCAGCATCGGCTCATGGTTATAGCAAAGGCACATATTGGATTTTTTCTTATCAATGTTCTAGAAAGTTTTCAGGAGGCATTGCAGGTTAGGTTGCTTTCGAAGGCGATGATGTGTAATGGGTGGAAAGAAATCACGAAGAAGCTTTGGAGAGCGACGGAGAAGCTCCAACTAAGGGTATTGATGAACGCGCAGAAGATTTTTCATTTTCTTTTTGAAGGGCTTGGGTTAGGTTGGATTGTATGGGATGGGGTGGGTATAAATTGTTTCTGATGAGAGGCGAATGAAGTGCTTTGGAGATGGGGTGGGGGTGTGGGTGTAGGTGGATGTACCTAGTTTTTGATAAAATAATTACAGGTACCTGATTATTGAAATTGAAAGTTAAAAAGTAAGGTTTGAGACGGGGCGGATCAAAGCCACTTTTCTTGTGGGGTCAAAAATGAGAATTCAAAAATATTTAGAACCACATATCATTAACGAAAATAAGTCAATACGCTATTACAGCTGTAACCTACGCGTTTTCATACTCTGAAAACGTCGTATAATTACATCGTTATCAATATTGTTAATAACTACAAATATTTTAAAATATAATTTCAAAAATAAAAAAAACTTGTTGAAATTTAAAAAATCAACTGATTACATTTTGTGATTTTTGATAAAATTTTGTCATCTATGATTTAAATAAACAAACCATGGTCACAATCTCATACTAGTTACAAATCACAAAAGACACGATCACAAAGTGACAAAAACATAATTTGTCAATCATAATTACTTAATTATACATTTTAACATGTTACAAATTACTAAATTATTTGGTTACACCCCACCCACCCCCGATTCCACTCCACCACTGTCGACACCATTCAAATCGCCGTTACCATGTCAAGTCCATAAACACTATCTTTACAAATCAACAACCACATCAAATCTACAACTACCACTGAAATGGCCACATTCTTCTCTCCGCCACAATTCTACAGCCACCTCACAACATCCAATCTCATAGTGACCAGATCTCTACTACAATAATCAATTATGGTCATGTTAAGTTGATTAACGAAGACGATGCGATAGAGAAGATGGAGAGACCCTTCCAAAGAACTAACTAAAAAGTCACTAGCACAACTGAGGCAACAACATTGGCTCATGGTTGTGGCGAAGGCTCATATTTGATTTTTTGGATCGATGTTGGATAAACTTTTTAGGATGTGTTGAGGAGGTTTTCGTCGGTTGGGTTGTTGACACAACCTGAAGCAGCAGCATCGGCTCATGGTTATAGCGAAGGCACATATTGGATTTTTTCTTATCAATGTTCTAGAGATTTTTTAGGAGGCATTGCAAGTTACGTTGCTTTCGAAGGCGATGATGTGTAATGGGTGGAAAGAAATCACGAAGAAGCTTTGGAGAGCGACGGAGAAGCTCCAACCAAGGGTTTTGATGAACACGCCGAAGATTTTTCATTTTCTTTTTGAAGGGCTTGGGTTAGGTTGGATTGTATGGGGTGGGGTGGGCATAAATTGTTTCTGATGGGAGGCTAATGAAGTGCGGTGGAGATGGGGTGGGGGTGTAGGTATAGGTGGATGTACCTAGTTTTTGATAAAATAATTAGTGGCACCTGATTCTTGAAATTGAAAGTTAAAAAGTAAGGTTTGAGTCTTTGAGATAATTTTTTCATAATTGTTTCTTGTGTATATTACACATACCACATTCTTTCCTTTAAAAATTCTAAGTTTACTTTTACTACTTTATTACTAAACACTAACTTTATTTAATCATTCACACGCTTCACCCTCTTCCCAACATCCCACCCCAAATCGTTAGCGACGACTGAAAAGTGTATTTTGTACACTTATTTAAGCCATTAAATTAGAGTATTTGTTAGTGATTTAGATGATTTATAGTTTAATTTTGTATTAATTATGTTTATTAGGTTGAATTCAATGCAAATTGGTGAATTTGGAAGAAAGGAACGAAAAACGTACGAAAACGAAGGAAATTCAAAGTTTGGGGATCAAAGTGTAAACATACAATAGTTTATTCAGACCATAAAATGATGATTGAAGATCATATATGATCAATTTGATGTAATTGGAGGTCAAATGAGTGAAATATAGTTGAAGTATTCCACAAAGCAATTTCCAACCGAAAAAGTTATGCTCTAGATTTTTAGCCTCAATTTTAAACCCATTTTTTGGATAGAAAAATTCGGATTGGAAAAAATATACTTCTAGAAGAATTGTATCCCTTTAAATTATATTTCTAACACATTTTGAATTACCTCAATCGGATATCTGTAATGAAAGTTATGGCCAAAATACTGAAAGCTATTTAGGGACAAACCAAAGTGAACCTGCATGCGCGGGATACCCTCTTTTCCCCAACCCGAGAGCCATTTGGTTCAACGGTGCATGATGGTTATGTCTGTGTGAGCGCGAGGGCCATTTCTGGGCTTGAACGGCCCAACTTCCTAATTTGATCCAAATTCTTATAGAAATCAAATTCAACCTATTATTTAACCTACAAGAGGACAATCAGAACGAGAGAACATATCAAAACACTATTTTTCACCACAAGAAGGAGACTAACACAAGATTCAAAGACAATTAACACAAGAGATTGAATATTCAAAGTCCGAGTTGAAGATTAACGAAGAAGAAATTGATTTTTTGCTTTCCAATCATTGTTTTTCATCCCGGGTGATTTCTTTGAATCTTTTTGTGTAATTTACATAAAAACATATTAGGCTAATTCTTTTCATGTATTAGATGAAGATGAAACATTTTATTATTTATTTTTAATTCAAAACAAGCAGTTAGTTATATTCTTGTTTTTCTTGATTAATATTGCTTGCGTAATTTTATTATTTCATTGCTTGATCACCAATTAAATATATAATTGCTTGTTATAGTGCTATGAGGCTCACAATAGGTTTAGAATACTGCTTGACTAGTGTACATGCAATTGATATTAGGAATAATATTTATAACTTGTGCAATATATAAGATAATTGTGAAATTGAATGCGTTCTATTCATTCGAATCGGATTAGGAATAGATTCGGGTCGTGACTAGAATGTATTTAATTTGTCTTGGAAAAGAGAATTAATTACAATAGAATTATCGATTGTTAAGAATGCATGAATAATATTAGGTAATTTAAAATTGAAATAGATAATAATAGGTGGATTCGTAATCCAATGCACTCATTCCATATAAATACAAAACTCGAATTTTACAAGTTTTCATATATTAATTTAGAATAGTTATCAGCCATAAATCTATTTTGTTGGCTCACTTTCAATCTAATTAGAAACTAGTATGCTTGATTGAATTTATTCCTCGTGGGATGATACACATACTTATCACGTATTACTTGTCAACGATCTTATACGCTTACGGGTTTCACAAGAACAGGTTTTTGGCGCCGCTGTCGGGGA